TCTCCTGCATTGCAGACAAATCCTTTACACTTTGCAACCCCATAGACTGTAGCCTGCTAGGCTCCTCTGTCCATGGAATTCTCCAGGCAAGAATACTGGAGTGGGTTGCCATGCCCTCCTCCAGGGATCGAACCTGAGTCTCCTGCATTGCAGACAAATCCTTACCACCTGAGCCACCAGGGAAGCCCTCAAATATGCAGCCTCGCTCCCCTCCCCAGATATCAGGGGGTGAAGCTAAAAGTACCTTTTTCCCCTATTTTGATATTAGATATTATTATTTTTAAAAATCTTTGCCACTTATCTACACTAACAGAGAATAGTGGCAAAGATTTTTTAATAATAATATCTACTACTGAAATAAGAAGGAGAAACTTTCACATATTTGTATGGAGGTGTGAAATTGGCACAACTACTACCATTTGTACCAATTTAGAGCAGTTTGTTAGTGTAAAAAAAATAAAATGCATGTTCTTTGAACTAGTGGTTCTGCTTCTGAGTTAAGGAAATCAATTTTCATGTGAATAAGGCTGTAATTAGAAAAAATGTGTTTCCCTGTGTTTTTTAAAAAAAGAAATAAATTAGATGTCCAGCAATACAAAATTGTTTAAAGAAACAACTGATATAATGAAATTTTAAGCTTAAAATTGTTAATGAAAGTCCATAGTTTTATAAATAACAAAAGGATCATGTTGTATTTCTGTCTTTTAATTTGTTTTTTTCAATTAACAAAAAGTATATAGGAAAAAAGACTAAAAGTATACTTTTAAAGCAAAATGTTAAAAGTAATTTACCCTGGCTAATGAGATTTATCTGTAACTTTCCCCCAGTGCCTATGTTTTCTTTTTAAATTTTTTTGTTAAAAATTTTCCTGAATGTAAAGCTAACAAACGCAAAGGTATAAATTAAATCCATAAAGCATGTGTGTATTAGTTACTCGGTCGTGTCCAGCTTTTTGTGACCCCATGGACTGTAGCCTGCCAGGCTCCTTTGTCCATGGGATTCTCCAGGCAAGAATGCTGACTGGATTGCCATTCCTTTCTCCAGAGGATCTTCCCAACCCAGGGATCAAACCCAGCTCTCCTGCATTGCACGCAGATTTTTTACCATTTGAGCTACAGGGAAGTCCTTTAAATCTGTAAAATAGGATGATATTTTATGCTATATAATTTATTTGTGTATTTATTCATTTGGCCATGCCATGCAGTATGTAGAACCTTAGTTTCCCAACCGGTTTCAAACCTGTGCCTCCTGCAGTGGAAGTGTAGAGTCCTAACCACAGGAATGCCAGGGAAGTTCCATATATAAATTATTTATTAAAGCAACCCCTTTATGTTTTGGGCTTCTCTTGTGGCTCAGCTGGTAAAGAATCTGCCTGCAATGCCGGAGACCTGTGTTCCATCCCTGAGTTGGGAAGATCCCTCAGAGAAGGGAATGGCTACCCACTCCAGCATTCTGACCTGGAGAATTCCATGGACTGAATGGGGTCACAAAGAGTCGGACACGACTGGGCAACTTTCACTCGCTGACTTTATAACACCATCAGGATGAAGTTCCCTGGAGCTTGGCCCCTTCCAGCCTCCACTTTACCGTGTTGCAGTCCCCATCTCCCCCTTCTTGCCCCAGTGCAGAGGTTCCCGGGTCTGCTAATATCCTTGCGTCTGCCTCTCTCTCCCTGCCTTCAGTTCTCTCCCTCCCTGGCCCAGCTCTCCTCGTCTCTTGGGATGTGCTGTCAGCACCACCTCTAGGAAGCCTTTCCTGAGCTCCCAGTGCTTCTCCCTTCTCATTCCCGCTGCTCCCCAACCCGTCTCTGCAGAGGTACCTGCCACACCATGATATTTATCCCTTTCATTTTCCTCTCCTAAGAGACTGAGGGTGACTTGAGGTCAGGACACTGTTGGTTAGCACAGAGCCTAGAACCTAACAGTAGGAGGCTAACTGTTGTCTGTATGTGTGTGGGTGGGTGTGTGTGTGAGAGAGAAAGAGACTGAACAATAGAAATAAAGATGTGATGAGATCAGAGAAGCCAGAGTATGGGGAGAGGTGTGACTATATTTGCATGAGTGGAGCATGGGGTCTCCATAAAGATTTTAGTAGGATAGGGAGGTGAGGAGGAGCCAGAGCACTGAGGGCCTCGTTTGTCATCCTCAGGGATTCTGATCTGATGTTTAAGTGATGGAGAGCCAGTAAAGACTTTAAAGTAAGAGAATGTCTAGCCTTAGCATTTCCTAGGGTGTTAAGATGTTATTAATGTTACATGGGAAGCCTTGATATAACATGTATTTGGGAAATCCTGGCTTAAACCAAGTTAAATGGATTTCTCTTCTTCTGGACTTCTCAGAGTTTTTATTGTGCTAATGTGTATTTTTAATCCTCCTGAAGGGACAGTTGTGGGTAATATAATTTGCAAGATTTCCCCCGTGTATTTATCATGGAACCCGTATATTTGGGGATTATGGTATACACCCATTTTGGGAAATGGACTCTGGGGAGAGCAGTAGTGTGGAGCTTTTAGTGATGGTTACAATAGCCCTGTCAGAAACACTGAGGGCCTGAATCAGGAGGGTCGTGGGGGGAAAGGGAGAAGCAGGACCAAGGGTCTAAGTTTTCTTTCTCAGACCATGTTCTCCAAAACTGGTGATTGATCAGTAATTTTAGAAGATCATGTCATGATTTGAGAGTTGTTAATATCTGATCCAAAGATGTTAGAACAAGTGTGTGAAAAGTGGTTTGAAATATCTCTCAGACAAATGGAAGTCAAGGGAAATCTGTTTACAACTCTGCCAACTGATGACACAGCCCCAGGCTCACTCCACTTGATGTTAGAATCTGCATATGGCCTGACTTGAGCTAATACACTTGAGAAGCTGACAGGGCACATTCTAGACTGCACATGGTGGCTACTTGTTTGTGAGTGAGTCAAAGCTGGTTGCCAGGAGTCTAGGTTGGGCAGCTGAGCAGATGGATGGTGGTACATGTTGTTGTTTAGTCACTAGGTCGTGTCCAGCTCTTTTACTGCTCCCCAACCCGTCTCTGCAGAGGTACCTGCCACACCATGATATTTATCCCTTTCATTTTCCTCTCCTAAGAGACTGAGGGTGACTTGAGGTCAGGACACTGTTGGTTAGCACAGAGCCTAGAACCTAACAGTAGGAGGCTAACTGTTGTCTGTATGTGTGTGGGTGGGTGTGTGTGTGAGAGAGAAAGAGACTGAACAATAGAAATAAAGATGTGATGAGCTCAGAGAAGCCAGAGTATGGGGAGAGGTGTGACTATATTTGCATGAGTGGAGCATGGGGTCTCCATAAAGATTTTAGTAGGATGGGGAGGTGAGGAGGAGCCAGAGCACTGAGGGCCTCGTTTGTCATCCTCAGGGATTCTGATCTGATGTTTAAGTGATGGAGAGCCAGTAAAGACTTTAAAGTAAGAGAATGTCTAGCCTGAGCATTTCCTAGGGTGTTAAGATGTTATTAATGTTACATGGGAAGCCTCGATATAACATGTATTTGGGAAATCCTGGCTTAAACCAAGTTAAATGGATTTCTCTTCTTCTGGACTTCTCAGAGTTTTTATTGTGCTAATGTGTATTTTTAATCCTCCTGAAGGGACAGTTGTGGGTAATATAATTTGCAAGATTTCCCCCGTGTATTTATCATGGAACCCGTATATTTGGGGATTATGGTATACACCCATTTTGGGAAATGGACTCTGGGGAGAGCAGTAGTGTGGAGCTTTTAGTGATGGTTACAATAGCCCTGTCAGAAACACTGAGGGCCTGAATCAGGAGGGTCGTGGGGGGAAAGGGAGAAGCAGGACCAAGGGTCTAAGTTTTCTTTCTCAGACCATGTTCTCCAAAACTGGTGATTGATCAGTAATTTTAGAAGATCATGTCATGATTTGAGAGTTGTTAATATCTGATCCAAAGATGTTAGAACAAGTGTGTGAAAAGTGGTTTGAAATATCTCTCAGACAAATGGAAGTCAAGGGAAATCTGTTTACAACTCTGCCAACTGATGACACAGCCCCAGGCTCACTCCACTTGATGTTAGAATCTGCATATGGCCTGACTTGAGCTAATACACTTGAGAAGCTGACAGGGCACATTCTAGACTGCACATGGTGGCTACTTGTTTGTGAGTGAGTCAAAGCTGGTTGCCAGGAGTCTAGGTTGGGCAGCTGAGCAGATGGATGGTGGTACATGTTGTTGTTTAGTCACTAGGTCGTGTCCAGCTCTTTTGTGACCCTGTGGACGGCAGCCCAGCAGGCTTCTCTGTTGATGGGCTTTCCCAGGCAAGAATACTGGAGTGAGCTGCCATTTCTTTCTCCAGGGAATCTTTCTGACCCAGGGATCAAACCCACATCGCCTGCATTGACAGGCCAATTCTTTACTACTGAGCCGCCAGGGCAGCCCTATCATGATGAGATAAGCCAGATAGGAGACAGTTTGGAGGACGAAGATGCTTTGTCAGTTTTTAACATGTTCATGAGGTAGAGTTGACAGTGGGACATCCTTGTGGAGAGAGGAATACCAGCAGGCCATTGGATGTATGAGTTTTCTGCTCTGATAATTTGGACTGACCCAGCCATCATTTTACCTCTGTGTCTCAACTGCTGCATATGTTAGGGATTTCGTGTCTCTTTTATGAGATCATAAAATATTAAATTGCAGTCTGAAGACCCTGCACATTCCTAATCTTACCCCCATTGCACTTCTACATATCAGTAACCCATGTTCCTCCATAGCTTCTCCACCACATACGCTTTCCCTTGAAGTCACTTTTGTGATTTTTTTAAGCCAATGATTTTTAGGAATATTGAAACGTACATTTTTCGCCTCCAAAGAGGAGACTGCATTTGCCTTTGCAAGTATGGGGAAGACGGGTGCTTAACAGTGTTTTTCATTGCCTTGTTTCAAGTGGAATCCTTGAGTCACTAATGCTCTAACATGTTTCTGTTTCGCTCATTTTAAGTGTAATAACAATGTTCCTTTATTTTACTTATAGCTCCAAAAGGAATTCTTCATTTGTCTCCTGATGTTTATCAAGAGATGGAAGCCAGCCGCCACAAAGTAATCTCTGGCACGACTCTAGGCTATTTGTCACCCAAAGATATGAACCAACCCTCGAGCTCTTTCTTCAGTATATCTCCCACATCGAGTAGTTCAGCTACAATTGCCAGGGAACTCCTTATGAACGGAACATCTTCTACAGCTGAAGCCATAGGTTTAAAAGGAAGTTCTCCTACTCCCCCTTGTTCTCCAGTACAACCTTCAAAACAGCTGGAATATTTAGCAAGGATTCAAGGCTTTCAGGTATGAATTAAAAGCAAAACCAAGAAAACAAAGCAATTCATTAGCCCCTAGTCCTCCATCTCTGTCCATCAGAAAGCTCATTCTTGCCTGCTAGTGTGACTTCTATGCCACTTACATTGTAAATCATTAGGAACACAGAGGACAGAAAAACGAGCCATGTGCACATGCCTCATTTTAAAGATTTTTCATTCTCTCCAGTAATTATTTTTTGCTGCCTGGCTCTCCTCCATTTTCTTTCTTCCTCCTCTATTTTTTTTTTAAAGACATTTTTCATCCTCTGTTCCGTCTTCTGATTGGTCTCAATTGGGCACATCTATTCCCTCCACTCTGTCTTCCCAAGTAAAGATCCTGCCTTCATACATTTGGTCTTAGTAAACACTAAGTGCTCCCTCAGTTTACAGTAAGGTTGAGTTTTTCTAATGCTGATTTTACTTTCATAGCAATTTTTTGAATTTGGCATTCTGTTGCTAGTAATGATTCAGAGATGCCACTAAGGTACAACATCCTAGAAGTCTGTTGTCTTAGGAGTTCATTAACCTTGGTGTTAGAACAGTAATAAATGCTTTCTAGCTGTTAGAGGCATAAAAACATGTATTGTTTGCCTGGATTGTGTTTTGAGCCATCTAGGGTAGCACCTACCTCAGATGGTACCAATAATTCTATTTCACTGGGCAGTCTACACCTAGCTTATAGGCCTCTTGTGTATAAGAATTTGGGGCCGGAAACTCTCTCCCTCCCCTATTTAGTCATTGTTCCCTTTTGGGAAAAAAAAAAAACAAAAACCAATAATCCTCTGTGGGTAGATCTTTTAAAAGAATTGTTAACTCTAGGAAGAGGAAATACCTGTGTTTTGACATCTTAGTTGCCTTGAAAATCCTGTACTGAACTGTAACCACTCGACTGGATGAGCAGCGGCGGGCTTGTGCGTGGAAAGAACAGGCTGTGCCCGCAGAGTTCGCTATTTTCATGCCCCTTTCCATCTTAGTCTTATTCCCTACGACCAAAAGCTGTAATTTCCTTTAGAAATGCTCTAGAAGGTCTGTATTGTCTAAAATGATCATGTATTTATAATTTTTTTTTTCAAATTTAGATATGAGAGAAGATCACGTGGTTGAGGGGGTGGAATTTTTGCATGTTTTTTTTGGTTTGTTTGTTTCCCTTCACAGAAACCTGATTCTTTCCAATCTCTTGCCAGGTAGTGGTTAGTGTTTTTAATTAGATTATTAATGTGAAATCTAAAAAGCTGTTAGTTTTTGGCTCTGTCATCTGAAATTTTAATCATTTAATTTAAAAATTAAAATTTTAGGGTTTGTTTTTGTGGTTTACCTTAAGAATAATAATCACTGTTTAAAAGGACCTTGATTCACACAGTTAAAAGTCCTGGAAAAAAAGAACTAAGCAATTTTTAGTTCTATCTGTAATGTACATAGGATGAACTAGAAATAAACTGTGATGAAAAGGAATTCACTGTTTATTTACAAATCTAGTTATCTAAAAATGTCCAAAAGTAATACTACATTTGGATTTTTATAGAAACAAAGCACAAATTGATTCAGGCTCTGAATTGATTTTTTTGCTTGGAGAAGTTATATGGTAGATGTTCATTTTGCTGCCAGAACTACTTAAAATTTTAAATTTGTATTTATTTGTTAATTCTTGGCAGTTACAGCAACTATAATTTTAAAATAGTTTTGCTTTAGTCAAAATGTAGAATCTGTTACTCCTATATTTGGGTTGACTACTCAGACCCTTTTTTTTTTTCTTTAAAGTTTATGCTGAGATAATACGCACTTATTTATGGACAAGTTAGTAAACATTTCCAAATTGTGTATGGTGATTTTTACATACTAATGAATATAAGCAGATGGTTTGAAACATTACTGTGCTTCTTTGGTCAAATGAGCTTGGTGTTGATATGAAATATTGTGTTGCTGACAAGCTGCAGCCTGCAGCTGTGTGGTGAACATACTGTGGGAAATGGCTCCATGCCCTGACAGGTGCCCAACACATCCTCATAACGTCACAGTAGAAGAGTCTTTGTGGTTAAGAGTTTTAAAGCCTATTTCTTTATAGGTAACTTTCTCAGGTGTATTTACCTGCTAGAAAAACCTGTAGATTGTTTCTATTTCTTAAATGTTTTAATTGGACCATAGTTTAGAAATGATAGGGCCAGCTTGTTACGAATTCCATGCTATTGTGTTATTTTTATTTCTGGAACTTAAAAACAATAAATTCTTTCTCTGTGTCTCAAGGTTAGTACTTTTAAAATTTTGTTATTGTACACTGAATAGATATTATTGCTTATTGAATACTGTATAAACTCTTCTCTGGCCTTCTGTGCCCATTGACATTTGATTTAAGCCTACCAGAGCCATTGTATGTGACAGCTATGTTGTATTAAAAGTAAAAAATATATTAGTGTACTGAAACTATGTTGTTTTAACTTTAAAATTTTTTTCATTACCCACTCTTTAACTGAAATTTATGAGTGACAAAAAGCTTATTTGCTCACCATAATGAAAGTATTAAACTCACATCCTTTCCCTTAAGTCTATAAAACAGTTAAAATTATTATACAGTTAAAAGTTATTATTATTAATAAAACTGGCTCCGCAGGTCAGAAGATGACTGAACACTTGCATATTCTCAGTAATTCTTTTATCCTTGCTTGGGCTAACCTAAAGTTTTTAATCACATTTTAGATGCAAGCTTTTGGATTTCTATCATAAATGAATATTGATTTTTTTAAGTTTTATTGAGTATGGTTTTTTAAATTTTCTTTTAGAGCTTGAATGTTATTGACTTACTACTTTTTAGGAAAAAAAAGTTTTATATCAGTAGTTCTGCGATCCTGAAGCTTTGTCCAGCCCAGTTAGTATGCTTCTTTAACTTCTGTGCATTTCATGAAAATTCATTTGAAATACAGGTATACCTTAGTGTCCAGGGTTCCTTGGTGTGTACTTGATACTCTCTAATTATAATGCCAAAATGTTTCAAAATTAGTCAGTTTCTTAAAGAAAATCATTATGGAGGAGACATTTTTGAAATGCTCATCAGCTTTTGAGCTGAAGTAGATTTTGTTTCATTGTGTTATAATTTACATTATTGTGAGTTTTTGCATCATAAATATGTTTTCCATACTAATTATATTAGAAATCTCTGTATAATTAACTGTAAGCAGTTTCATTGTTTAATTGAGTCATTAGAAAAATTAGACTGGAAATTAAAATGAATTATTTTAGTAAATTATCCTTTCTAGATGGGTTTAATTTTAATCTTTTAGTCTGTACCCTTCCTTGTGATTATCATCCAGTGAGCAGTATTGTTTTTAAAACCTCCAGAGTGAAATATAAAAAATCAGATTTTTTTTTTTCATATTAAGGGTGTAAAGAAGGCACTTAGTATCTTAGTTAAACCATATTTAATTTATTTTTTAAAAATCAGGGAATGTTTTACTGGGCGGAGTACCTTTTCATTATTGTGAATTCTAGATGTTGGTGCGATTTTTAGCTAGATGAGAATGTCAGTGGAATGCTCAGAATTATCTATTTAATTAAAAACTTTCTTTTCAAGTACAATTCAAACATAATACCTTTCAACTAATATGTCTTCTTTTTTGAAGTTTAGTATGATTATAGCAGGTTTCTTTTATGATTATGGGCCTCTCTTAAATATTTATTTTTGGCATGTATGACATAACATATTTTAACAGTTTGGCCTTAGTACAGTTTACACTGAGATGGGACATGGAGAGTGGGGCTTGCCCAACTCAAGAATCAACGTTTGTCCTTTCTCTTTTTTCTTATTTTCCCTATACCTCACTTTTTGTAATCCATGTATTTATAATCTGAGTTTTTTTAATTTATAGTCAGGCTGACTTATAATCAGGCTATTTGCGGCTAGTTTTTTTTGGAGTAAGGGGTCCATTTTTTAAAAACCAGTATAAGTAAAATTTTGTAGATTTCTAATAGGAAAATATGGAGAAAGAAATTATGCATGGACATATACTCCCCCGCTTAAAAATGTTTTCCCCCATTTCTAATTTGTCCTCGAAACATAACTTAACCATGTCACTTCTGAGCCCAAATTTTCATCTACACTGTTACACAATGTATATAAAGTGATGAGAAATTACTCAGAGTACAATGAGCAAAATACATTTATGGGTTTGGCATGGGGTCAAGAGATTTTGCTCTGATTTATAGTCACTTCTTACAGAGCCCTCTTGGACTTAGCCTCAACTTTCCAAAGACCTTGGAGAAATTGGAAGAATTCTCCTAAAGTCTTTGGTCTTCCTGTGGTGACCCTAAAACTCCGATTTGTTCTTCAAATGGACAGCCTGTTATCTGCAAACTGACCTGTTGTCTGGTTTCTTCAGAGTTTGATATACTTGGCCAAAACCTCAAGGGCACACAAACTATCAATACGTTTCACATAACTATAGTTCATAAAAACCATTAGAATTACATATCACCTCACTTGCCTGAAATTTCCAACTATTTAGAGAAAAATATTGCATTTGAAGAAAGAAAGCCTGGTGCATATAAAAACACAGTGGGATGAATAACAGTTAAGAATCAAGAAGACTCAAGTAAGATAGTCCATTTGTTGTTTAGTCGCTAAGTCGTGTCTGACTCTTTGTACCCCATGGACTGTAGCCCACCATGCTCCTCAGTCTGTGGGATTTCCCAGGCAAGAATACTGGAGTGGGTTGCCATTTCCTTCTCCAGGGGATCTTCCCAACCCAGGGATTGAACCTGCATCTCATGCATTGGCAGGCAGCTTCTTTACCACTGAGCCTCCAGGAAAACAAAATAGTCCATTATTACCACATAAACTTTTCAAGAGTAACTCCACCCTAAATCTCTGCAGAATGTAATCAGGATAGACATACTCTTGAGCCTTGATACACCAGCATATACATAATAAGATACATTTCAAAGAAAGAGTAATACATAGAAGAGCTGTCCTAACACAGTGACTTTGATGTGGATCTGAAA